ATAGCAAAACATTCTGTCTTTACACATAGGAAATCTGAAGAAAGTTGTATTAAAATGCTGGTATTTTGATATCGTCGGCAATACGTGTATAAAACTGAAATCCCCATCTGCTAAGTGCTTCTAAATTTGTTTCAAATATAGCTTCAACCAAGTATCAGTCATTAGGTAAGTGGTGGGATATTAACAATTCCACTTTTTCACAGGAGGAAAAGAGAAAGCTATTTCCAAAAAATTGAATACACATGAATTTCCGCCCCTATTGGGTTGAAATATACTACAGAGAATTGTTTTACTATAAGATCATTTTATTTTGCTAGATTCACCTTGATCTGAGAATATAGAATCAGTAGTAGGTACAGTAGAATTACAGTAAAGAGCACGATGGTATAAGAATATTTATCTACGTATCTATTTATATTCGGAGAGTTATTTAGTTATTTTTAAAGTCCTCAGCCTGAAATATAACCTTGAAATAAACACTCATGTTTCCTTAAATACTTATTGTTTGCAAAACTAAATTGATTCAAAGAGATTCAGCTCTTTTAACAACCATTTGTATAGAAACACACTGTTTATATCAACCACCGTTTAAAAGCAGTGGAACCGACGTGTTTAAGAATGTATCACTTAATTCCTAGAAGGGTATTAAACCCTCTTTCAACAATTAAAACGAACGAATTTGCCCAACTACTTGTAGGGCATAAACAACTGTAATGTTTACATTAAGTCTGTTCTTTTGTTTAAAACTAATAAAGTCTTTTATGGGCTACATCAGCTATATGCTATATTCTAATTCAGAAACTAAAGATTCAAAAGGCCTTATGAGGTTGCAAACCACATTCTTGTGGTTTCATGTTGTAATTTAGAAGTTATCAAAAGCAGAAGAACGTGCTTAAATCTAACATATGCTGTGCATCCGTATATTTCCAACTTTATTAAAGACGGATAAGCAAGGCCTTAATGAGACGCCATTTTGGAAAAAAATAATATAAGTCAGGTTTTAATATTCTCTTTGATAGCAAAGAAGCACTCAGCCATGCACGCCAACCAGAAGAAGTAGTTTGGCTTTTATTTTTCCTTCCCAACTCTAGTGTCAGTTAAAAATGCTTTCATTAAAAACCAGAATTACCTCACAAAAGTGATTCCCCCCCCCCCAATGGTAGAGCCCGCACGATATTTCAACACCAAATTCTCTGCCCTCCACCCAGAAGAGGGGTAAACCGGGAGAAAAAAAATAATGGCTATTCCAAAATGTTACGACCCACGAGAGTCTCCAAGACAAGGAAACTGGGAGAGCAAGCTATTTATTTACATTGTACACAGCCCTGGCTCTCCGTCGGGCTTAGCTATGGCTCCTACCAAAGTTACTCGCACACAAATAAATGAATTCACCCTATGATCCACAGGCGAAGATTAGCTCAATTGATGGTCGCTTCCAATCCACTTGCCAAAGCCAATGTCTTTGTTCTTCGGATTTTCTAATCCCATTTTTGCCAAATTCCAAGGCAACGTCAAACCCATGAGGAAAGTGCAAATAGTAACAGGATGGCTTTCCCTCATGGCTATTGTTTGCCGGTCTTGCTGAGTTGTTCAACAGAGTAGTTTATTTACATGTCACCAAAGAGAACTCGCCCTGAGAGGACCGCACTTATCACACAGTCAAGTTTACGTTCCTCAACTCGAGAACTGTTAGGAGAGTGTGCATGTGAGAGTGGGTTGGTGTCTTTCTGCATGTGTGTGTGTCGTGTGTATGTATATGTGTGTGCGTGGTGTGTGAACAGCCATGTCTAACATAACTACAGTCCCTGTACATTTTATTCCTGGATGTGCATTTGCAGTTCTTTAAAACAAAACAAAAAAAACACCTGCATTTTCTGCAAAAGTGGAAGTGATTTACCCTGTATGGAACCCAACTTAAAGGTACGTTATTATTCCGCAAAAAGCCAATTAGAAGTTTGCTCTCTCGCCTTTTTCCCCCTGTGCAATATTTCACAACAAAGTAACCTACAGCAGCTTCCAATATGTTGTGTAGGGAATCCAGGGAGGAATAGGAAACAGGTCGGGTGTTTGTACGTCACATGGAAAGGTCCTTCACAATTAGTCTGTGTGTCATTAACGTAACTATACAGCAAGCTCCCCCAGCCTATGAGGGAGCATTTATTGTGACGGACATTCGATGGAAATAATAATAAAAAAAAACCTTGTAAAACTTTTATGCCAAACAAAGTTATAAAAACTTTTCATGCGTTAAGATATCAAAAGGTTTATAACAATAATAAAGCGTGTGTGTGCTGTGTGCGTGTTCAACCTTCTTCCACACGCGGCGAGGTTGAATTAAATATTAGCTCATCATCAAGGCCACATTTGGCCCAAAATTTGAATTTAAATAAAAATGTGGGTTCTCCTCCATCCCACCCACCCCCACCCCCCTATTGCTTTCTCGGGAGGCGGGGACACAGAAAGCCTTTCTGATTCTGCTTTATTACAAAAGGGTTAAAGGTGATGGACTTGACTTTATTGAAGTTCAAAGACATCATATATTCACATTTTTCTTCCTGTGGACCTCTTCCCTCCTCCTCCGATACAAGGAGCATAATCTCAATATACAGAACTCCACTTGCAGCGTTGGCCTTTTGCGGTTGTGTGACGATTTAAAAAAAAAAATACATCACAGGACAACCAAATCAAAGCCAACTATTTCCAAATTCATCCACTGTGGTATCCAATCCATCCCCACTTCCTCACCTAGACCCCGCCACACACACACACACACACACATCCAGGCAACCACTCCCCTCCCCCCCCCCCCCAAAAAAAAGAACATTAACAGCCTTTCCCTACATGGCACTGCTGCTTAATGCTATTGTAAACTCCCACATGGTCTATAAACTTGGATTTTACAACTAGCATTCCATTTTAGCTCGCGAAAACTTTGAACTAGGCCTCCAGTTTCATTGTGTTGGAATTGAGCTGAAGACATGGAAGGGGAGGGGGGGAAAAATCCCTGGGCAAGGCACTCTTATTTGTTTACTATTTACTGCGGAAGTCTTTTCCTATGGCCAGACGGGGTAATTAAGAAAAATTAAGCTGTTTAGTGCTGCAGTCTTTATTACAATGTCTAGACTACCAGCTTTTGTCCGGACAGTGGCTGCTGTTACGGAGCATTAACTGCGGTTTCTGACCTCGTGATAAGCACCCTATTGCACCTATGCTTAGTTTTCCTAACCTTGGAAAGGTTTGGCAAACAATCGTTAAAGAAAGGTGGGTTTATACGAATAATATTCCCTCTTCTTTGGCAGCTCTTCGACTGTATCAATGAGTGGCTGCATCTGCTAGGAGCATGGCTTTGGTCTCCATCCTATTTCAAAACTCTTTCATATTTTATTCACCATCTTTTCAAGGAATTGTCTACCAAAGAAAGGTCCAGGTTTTGGATTTCCAAAGGGCTGGCATGATTTTAGGCCATGGGATACCTCCTTAAACATTTCCACGTTTTAAACATAAATTCAAAGAAGCTCTTTGCTATCTGCCTTTTTTATTATTTTTTTATCATCTCATTTAATGAGAAACATGTCTATGAACATCACCCATTCAAATTATATCATGGCGTAACGAGGATGGGTCTATCACGAAAACAAAAGTTGTTTCTCATTTATTCTTTTTGTGTATGCAAGCGAAGCACATATTTGTGGCTTGCAATTTCCCCTACCGCTGTCACATAAAATAAGAAGCCACCATCAAAGTATGGGGCTGTATTTAAAAGCAATTATGAGAATTTTACAAGAACATTGTCAATGTATGGGAATATAATGTGTTGTTTCTTTGAGGATGTTCTTTTGTTCTTTCTTTTTCTTTTTTCTTCTCCCTCACTTCTACTCATACAAAACTCCACATCAAGAGATATGAGAATTCAGGCTGAAAAGCAACAAAACAAAACAACACACACACCCCCACTCCGAGTTATTTTATATACACAACATACATGCATCAAACCACTGCAGGCGTTTTCTGTATTTCTTTTTCCTTTAAACCAAATTGTGGCTCTTTAGTCCGCTCAGGAGAGGGGAAAGGCTTTGTGTAAACATAAAAGTACACTTCTGTACCAAAAGCTTGGGAGTTGAACTTGTTTTCCTTAACCGGGATTTTAAGTACTTGACTTTGCATTTGTGCATTGTACGTATAAGATAGTTTATATTTGACTTAATGGAAATACAGCACCTTCGATTGTGTAATTAGAGTTGCACTCACTTACAAAAGTCAAATATATGGTGCAAAAGATTAATTACATCCGGAAAAACAGAGCAAGACACATGGAACCAAATACACGGTTGTATTATTCGGCCAAGAAATTCCAATAAATATTTAAATTCGGTGAGGAATACAATGAACTCCACAACAAATGTAAACTTTAACGTACAGGAGTCGTATGAATTTGGACAATGCCACATTGCACTGAGCCAGATGAACATGGATGATTATATATGGCGATAGTATCAAATATATATATTTGATGTCATTACCATTTAGGTATTAAAAGTTCTATTGGAAAGTCCATACCGCACTGACCGCAATGAGGTTTTAAAGAGGGGAAGTACTAATAAAATGGTCAAATAAAATCATAATGTAGAACAGCTTGCAATATCTTTATTTACCACAGAATTTCACAGAGTTTCCCGGGAATTCACTTTACATACACAAAGATCTTTTATTATTGTTGTTGTTTGCTGTTATTGTTCTTCCAGATCCGGGAAAAAAATGCATTACGAAATGTATTTACAAACCACTTAGAGACAGTTATTGCAAATATATTCTCGTCCATACACCCCTCCCTCCCCCCCAACACCCCAAAAATGTAAAAGTGGGACTGCATAGAATATATATATTATATATATATATATATATATGGAGGGGCTTGAAATGAACCCATTCTTACTGCAACGGAACAGAATATTTAAATTAGGTTTCGACAACAGTTCTTGGCATGGATAGCAGGAGAACACAAATGGTCGGTGTGGATACGCACACTCCTATGTATATGTGTACATACACATACACGCACACACACACACACACTCCCAAATCAAGGTATCTAAATTAACCATAGAGGGAGGTTTTGGCCGCGTCTGTGGTAGCATGTTAACTGCATATTAAAATCATCACCATGATAATTATAACACAGCACTGCGATTTATTCAAATGGACAAGGATGACTAAATGAAAAAAAAATCCCAGTTGTTCAGACAAAACGTTAAATAAAAAGTCCATGGTTTTCCAGTCCTTTAAACGTTTAGATATCTGAACTCCTTGCGTTACTTAGAACTGTTCCATACATACAAATGTAAGTAACGAAAAGGTTTAAACTTTGAGGTTGCTTGTAGACTCAGACCACAACCCATGCTTTCAGAGTTCCTTCTTAGTACAGATCTACTTCACCAGCAGAGGACTGGGAAAAGATGTGTTCACAATAAGGGATTTCCAGAGAAATACTGCAGGCGGTCTCTGCTTAATTTTTTTTCTTTCATTCTTCTGTTCTGAAACCAAATTTTAACCTGTCGATCAGTGAGATTTAGCATCCTAGACAACTGAAGCCTTTTTTCTTTGTTTATATAGACATTGAAGAAAAATTCTCTCTCTAGCTCTCTGATCTGGAATTTCGAATAGGGACATCTCTTCTTCCTTGTACGGGGAGCACCTTAGGAAAAAACAGAAGGGAATGTAAATACTAAGCAAATGCAACACATAGACTCAGCTCTAGTTCTGACTCCATATATATATATATATATATATATATATATATATATATATATATATATACACATATTTATAGATTCATGAGATAATATATTTCGCCACTGTTATATTTGCCCACTGTTAATATAATGCAGAGGGGAGGTTATATATGGTTTTAAGGATTGTGCCCTACTTATGTTCTAAAAACACTACCTCTGCACAGGATTTTGTGATAGACATATTTTTAAGCATAATTAGGGATTGTACTCAGCAATTTAAGCAGGCTTTAAAGAAACTGTAGCTGTTGAAAAACATACGTTCAAGCTGCAAATCTGTTATCTGTATAGAAACAGCATGAGCAATGTTGGAACTGTAGGAACTAGACATTATGTTCCTCATAAGTTTTTGATTAACTTCAGTACCAGCATCAACACACTCCAAAATAATCAAAGTAAAAAGGAATTTAGCCTCTGAGCAACAAAAGGGGATGCATTGTTTTCATCATGAAACCAAACAGCAAAAGGGGGGGAGAGAGAAAAATCTCACCGTGATCGCTAAGTTTAAAAGTTGCTTGGCTTCAGAATTTAAAATAAGCCTCTAAGTTTTCTTAGCAATGTAGTGATTTTTTTTATCTGACCTTAATGACAAAAGACAGAAATTCCACTAGGCTTTGCGAAGAATCGTTGCGATTAAAAAAATAAATAAAATAGAGACTCAGGATGGAATTAAAATGTTGCACATTTTGCATTTAGCTCCACACCCCCTTATCAAAAGAGAGAGAGAAAAGCAAGACCCAACATATACTTTTAATTTTTAAAAATTCACTCTACATGCATCTTAGTGCCTAAAAGCAAGCACAGGAAGCTACAGCAGTGTTCTGCCCAATTGGCTTTTACCCTGAGCAACCCGGGACCAAATCCTTTTAAAATGCTCGTGTAAGTTCATGATCAAAGTTAATATTTGCCACGATGGTGTGCTTTTAAAATTTCACAGACTCTAAGATACTGTGTCTGCGCCTAACATCTCCATTTTTTCAAAGAGCTTTCCCATCGTAAAAATTCTTCTCGTTGGAAGAAAGAGCTTTGTAGGTTATAATAAAATCCTTTGAATGCTTATAAAACTCCACATAAAATTTGACCGACAAAACACCGGGCTAGTCCCTTAACCTTTCCATTTACTGCTCTACCTACTCGAGTTGCTGCTTTTGCTTCCTTCCTTGTTGACAGAAGAAGACGAAGCTGAAGACCCTGGATTTGTGTTTTCCTCTTCGTCTTCCGGGTCTATGCCTTGCTCTCCGCGGGATGATAGTGCACTGGGCTGGGAGTCGGATTCCAGTTTGCTCTCGCTTTTCTGCAGACAGTTCTCAGGCGGGTTCTCTGTCCCGCAGTAGGCATTTTCGAAGAACCGATCAAAGCCCTGGGGCAGGACACTGTTTTTGTTCATGCTGGAGTAGAATCCCGTAGATGCAGGATGGTTAGAGCTGGGATGGTGGTGGCTGTACACGCTTTCGTTTTTCATTAGCATTTCGGTCATGGTGGAAGGCGGGATACACTCTCTATGCATCAGATCTTCCGCGGAATAACACGATGCGTAATTGCTTCTATGGTGCCATTTACTAGAGGGGTCTAGACCATAGGAGACCTCTCGAACTGGTTGCACTTGCGAGAGGTTAGTGGAATAAGGGTAGGAGATTTGGCGAGAGGGGGCCTGTGGCAAGAAAGATGACACAGTTGAAAATTCTGGGACGTAATAGGTGCAGCTAGGGAGGTAGAGATTGGAAGCGCAACCTGCTCTGTCTCCAAAGTCAGCACTCCTCTCTTTACGCGATTGAGAACAGAAGTTTCCTAGATTCACTGAGTTAAACATCTTTCTCCTTTTCTTGCTCTATAGATAGATGTTTTGGATCCGATGTGCAGAGGGGGAAAAATTTGGGAAGGCGAGATGACGCGCTATCCGTCTTAGTCGCTCTAAGGAGCACGTGATCCAAAGTAGATATTGTCATATATCAGTTTGGAGCACTTAGATGTGTAGGAGTGGTTCACTTAGGTAAGATCTCAGAGGTTCAAACGATTGGTTTTCAAACACCGCAGAAACATTATGAAAATCAATTGCAGCTTTGTATTCATTTTCTTCAAGGCACACCCCTTGTAAGCATTCAAAGCAAAGGGCAAATACAAGGGATGGCTTGTGAAGTTTTTTTTTTTTTTTTCCTTCCCGGTTTGGATTCTGCTTTCTATTTTTCACGAGGATTCGGATATGAAGTGGGGGCTGTTGGGAGCGAGTGGGAGCTGAGGGAGGGTCTTAGAGATATTTTAACTGTATTTTTCCACGTTTTTTTTCTTTTCTTTTCTTTCCACGCTAGTCACATTTTAGGCGTGACAATGTAAAGTCTTTAAGTAAGCTCAATAAAAAGCCCAGGGAATGCGCTGAAGATTCATAAGTAAGTTTTCAAACATTTCTCAAAATCTTGCTACAGTGGGGCATACACATATCTCTGTGCCATTGGGCTTTTAAAATTATAGTTGAATATATAATTTGGGAGGGAAGGGGGGAAGTGGCTAATTAGCAAGCTTCTAACATTAGCTAATTACATTGTTCTATGTGCAAACCAACTGTACATAAACCAACGTGGCATATACTGCAGAGAAACAATACCAGTGTGTACCTTTAAGCAATACCAGTGTGTGTAAAGTTTCAAACTTTAAAGTTACCTGAGACTAAAACAGAGCCATTTCAAGGCTGTCTTAATGACTTTTGATATCGAATTTGTAATATATCAGGGAATAGAGCAAATGAAATAAGTCAGTGCCTAATAAATATTCGAAAACCTCCTTTAATGTTTTGTTAAATATTTATTATGTAAGAGTGGCATATTAAATATTTAAAGCAAGTGTTTATTGTCAATCAATGAATGTACATACAGAATTACTAGCATCCTTTATTCCTCCAACTGAATTAAAAAAATAGAGATTCTTATTAAAGTCATTTGTCTTGAATTTTGTGCCCCAAGAGCTTCATGCTTGTCTATATTTCCCAGTGTTTTGAGATGGAATGAATACTTGTGCTATAAAGTGCTATCAGACATTTTACGAGTTTTTCAACCAATTGTCTGTCTAAAAGTTCTTCTTTAAATAATATGGAAAGGGATACCTGTAGGACTTACAGAGAATATTGAGTGACACTGTGGATTGCTAGTATTTCCAAGATGTATCTTGCATATCTGGCATACTTAAAACTCTTCTAACACCGAATTACCCTGTGACCACTACTCTGATTGTTTACTTCTCGTTCTTTTCACCTGGGTTGCAAATAATTTGTCTGGGGACTGTGATGAAAAATGATGTTAATAGTATTTCTATTTCAAATGCAGAGATGTTTGTGTTTTCCACGATCTGTGAAAATAATGCAGTCCCTTGTGCCACCCCTCCCCTTCTTTTAATTACAGGACACCACCTGGTTAATTTTCTTTATTTTCTCTTTTGCTATTGTTCAGTTAAAGAAAGAATAAATAAAAATTCAGCTGTTTACATAGAGGTCCCCCTCCCCCACTAAACTCCATCGTGGGATCTCTTTGGAGACAGGTTAAATACCTTCTAACAAAACTAACACACCATCACAGAGTAAAATGTCTTTATTAGTGATATCTTGTCAAAGAGTGTTGCAGTAAATTCGAACAACAACAAGAAATAACCAAAGCACAGACACATGAGCTATCAGTAAACAATATTATTAGGAAGGAGAAGAAGGGTATACATGATTTTTCTGCCTGTTTTTGTTTTGCTAAGCATTTCATCTTGAAAACTATCAACAACTCCATCCAAGTAATCCAGCACAAGAAACGCAAGTTATAAATTGTACAGCTCGGAGCTGCAGTCATTTAACCCAGATATTTTTATTCTCAATTTTCATTTTCGCTGGTCTAATTTTTTTTTCTTTCCATTTTAGTCAGCAGGTAGGTTCATTTCGACGCAATATTAACAGAAAGTGAAAAGACAAGTACATCTTCCACAAGCTGCTAGAAGGAAGCGGACGCTGATATATATTAAAAAACCAATAATAGAAAAGCAGAATGACATTAATAAGCAACATGCTTTTGAAAAGTTCATTTTAATGATAGGAAATAAATTGGTAGGTCTGTGTCTTGCAGCGGAGCTAAGATCTGAGCACTTAAGAAACAAAGAAAAAAACACATTGGACACTGCAATGTAGCTTTCAAAACTGTAGCACATTGTAGTATGTCTCGATTTCAATTGCTGTATTACTGATCCCTTGGTGGCTTCTTATGCTAAGAATACATACTCTTCCTTATTTAAACAATGTTGACAGTCCTCATGCAACAGAGCATATATTTTTTTACACATATTTGAATTTTTCTCAAGGTTGGTGTTTTTCTATCCAAAACTCTTCAAAAACCTCTTTTTATAACTGATCTCGGGATCTGTGTGTGTACATATATCATCTCAAAATGGGATGTATTTTTTCTCTAATGCACCCTTGGCTGATAAATACAAAGTAAAGAACTCATGAGGTCGAGATATGTGTCTTGGTTTTGTAATCTGCCCCCATTTTATGTCTTTGGTGTAATTTTGGGCAAAACTTTTAATTAAAGTGTCAGTGATCTTTTTATGGGCCAATATTAATGCTAACTACAAACTAATAATGTTAAGCTATTGTTTATGAGTGCAATTATTTTTCTTCCAATTCCCTCCTCTTTGCAATCTTCATGGGGCAAAACCGAACGTTGAAATGGAAAACTCTCCTAGTAAAAATACAGATTTCATCTTCGGGGTTTAGACATTACGTTTAGAGATTATTTCGTCTCCATTTTATTTGAATAAAAAGAAGACATGGGGTGGGGGAGGAGAAGAAATCCTAAGTGTCCTCGCTAAAACATATGTGTGGTATAACACATGAGCTCCTTCCTATAGGTGTGTGAATAATTTATTGCTCTTAGTAGGTAAATGTCTCTAAAACAAGTCCCGTTGCCATTTTGTTTTTTAAACCCAGTTTAAAGGGCAGGATTTGCCGACTTCCTGCAAGGAAACACAGAAGAGACAGCTGTGGAGTCATAGCACTTGAATTTGACCACCAAAGTGACTACCATAAAAGCCAGAATGAAGACTGCAGACTCTTTTTTAAAAAAAAGTCAAATGAGTTTCAGGGTAATCAACTGTAGGGACCCTGAACTTTAATCGAGTTCATTTCACAGCCAAGTCTGCAATAAAGTAAAATAAAATAAAATAAAATAAACAAAACACACATACAGACAACCTAAGGGGCTGGGGAGGAGAGGAAATACGTTTATTTTTCCAAGGGAAGTTGCTCGAATACTATCTTGAGGTTACGATGAACTGAACTGCCTACTTAGAAGCAATATTTGGAGTGTATTTTGTTTCCTCACATCAGCATAGTGAACGAAAACGCAGCAGAGACCGCGAAACGTCCACCTCCTTTCCTCTAGCTAGCGGGCTAATTTGTTGTATACAAGCATCTAAATGCAATTCGATTCCATTGTAAGAATTAAGTGTTTAAAAACCCAACACATTTTGCCTTGACTGACTACTAATTTGCCTGACATAAAGACTATACTTTGCACATTTATCAGTGTTTTCAACAGGCAAATGGGCATTTCACAAGACTTCTAAGTTGTGCTCTGTGTTGCTAAAATGAACTTTAAGTAAACTCCGGGTAATTTTGACTGAACGAGCCAAACCTAAGTAAGAAAGGTAGAGAAATAAAACATTTGAGCTGTGAAAGTTGTTTAGTGTATAGATATAAACTTCTTAAGTCATATTTTGATTTAGGATAACCCAGCACTTGAGCTATTCTTAAAAAAAACATCCATTTTTTTCCACTGGGAAATTCTGATTTTCCTTCCCCTCCTCCCCCCAAATTAATGTATTTTATACAGTGTAAAATCGTATCAACATTCCAGTTATCACTGGATAAAACTTTTCTGCACTTGTCGTCATAAAGAGCTCTTTGTTGGAGTCATGGAGTATGGAATCCACTGACTGGAAAAGAGAAAATAAAATATTATTTATACTGATTTGACTTACCATTTTAACCATAGGCACTTACTGTAGCATTTCAAGCGTTTAAAAGGAGTTGTGATCTCAAGCTATCTGATGCATTATTTATACATTGCATCTTTACCTAGTACAGGCGGCTGATCACAATTTACTTTGGCTCACGGATTTGGAAAAGTAGCATTTTCAGAACTGTATGCATTCCCGATCTGTCTGCAAATGCATTAAAAGTGAGTGTAAATCATTTCGCTGGTCGATGTACCTTCAGGCAGCTTCACAGATATGTGATTTGTTTATGCTAAATAAGCTCAGACTTCTGATGCCTAATGACTTTGGCCTGTCAGATGTTCTAAAGCTGATTCCTTCCCCCACCCCCGCTCCCCCAATACAGAACTACAATTACTTCCTAAAAACAAGACTCATAGACTTAAAAAAAAAAAGTGTACAAATCCACGCCAGTAAACAGATTACTATAGACCGCATGTGTCTCCAGGAAATCTGAAGCTGGAGACAATAGCTACAAGTGGGAAGCTCTTGGAAAATATTATTGTCCCCAAATGGCAAAGATAAATTTAATTGGATATAAGCCAGCCTACTAAAGAAATCTATATAAGCTGTGAACAATTCAAAGGGAAAAAGGACTTAGATCTCTGTAGACCTGAGCTGCAAGTTCAAAATCATGTGGACTCAATAAAGATAAAAGCAGATAAACTATGCTTCCTAACCACAGGCAAAGCAGATATTGTATGGTAGAAATGTGGTAGGGGTGTCAGATTCATATAGAAAGGACTCCAACGAGGCCCAAGGAATAGTTCATTTTGAGCAGTAATTAAGTAA